GAAAGTACAGTGTGTAATGACTGGCTCATCCGTGAAGAAGGCCCAGGTCTAAACCAACTGATTATTCACCATCACACTCTGGTGCACTGTCCTGTTTGCTCCTTTAGGACTGCTACTGATAAAATTAATGTTCTGATTGAAGTGGGATGTATAGAAACATGCCCCTCAGCCTGGTGGACAGCTCTTTCCTGTAAGTGATCTCTTCCTGTCTCAGTGGCACTGCGGTCTTCAAGAGCAGACAGACGATCAGCTTTCATATCTATGAGATCATTGCTGACCTGTATCATTATCGCTCATAGCATTTATACAGTAGCCAGTAGACAAATATTTACAGGTCAATAAAAATCTGTTGTTCCTCTATCTTTTTTCCTCAAAACAATGTACTGTATTCTGATCAGCCCTTGTCAGTTGACACAAGAGGGGTCGGAGTCTCACGTCGGAGTCTACCCACAAGTGGATGACTTTCCTCTGAATACTCCAGTGCCCCCCATCAATCCAAAACAGCTAAGCCTTCAACTCAGTCCTGACCGAACCTTGTTCAAGCTGGTTGCTCTTATGCACCAGTGGTATTAATTGCAAGAGAAATTCAAAGGGCAATTTTCTCTATAGGGATGCTAAAGTATGCCTCAACCTTCTCATCTTCTATTAAACAACTTTTTATGTGAAATAAATGAGCATGAGGAAGGTGTTTAAAGCAGTAGTGAGTGATGTAGCTATTGTCTGAACTGATACACTCAGGCCTTCATTTTCCCTCAGACCAGGCCTTCAAGAGGGTCAAGGCAGATCAAAGGTGCTGGTCATAGCCATTAGGCCCGGCGGCCCAGAGCCCACATGAAAAGCCTGTATTTTGAAAAGGAGGGCAGAAGGAAAAAAATAACAAGCCCCTCTTCATTTAAAGACCAAGCAAACTGTGAAATAATTGAAAAGGTATGTCAATCAAGAGCAGGAGCCCAGCAGGAGCTCCCAACTTCCCAGGATTGGCCCGGAGGAGCACTGAGCCGTGGAGGGCCGCTCAAGTGGACCGCCCAAGAAATTAACCACCAGCGACCACAGCATTTACCCACTTTATAGATGATCATTTGTAATGGACAAAAATCAGGATTCACACTTTTCATGGAAGAGGAAAGATTATAAAAAACTGATAGATATTCACTTGCCCCTTGCATGCAGAAGTGTGTCAGATTACTCTTCTCATCCATGCTTGGGACTGGCACAATGAATGCTCTGTTATGTGGCTGGAATTGATTTAAACAGTTCATTTATTCAACACAATTGTTTAGTCTGTGTGTGTATACATACATACATACATACATATATATATATATATATATATATACACACACACATAGATAGATAGATATAGATATATAGATATAGATTTTAATCTACTTCAAAGCTCCTCAGTAGTGCTAAGGCTTGACTTTTTATACCTGACACAATAGTTTTAGAATACAGTAGCCTATAGTCCTCTCTCAGGTGAATGTGGGTATTGCACCTGTCTCTCCCCCTCTTCTCGTTAGCTTTTGTCAAACAATGAAGAACCCACTCCTTCTTTTCTTTTTCTCAAGTCAGAAAAGGCTTGAATGATCTGACGGTGGGCAGACGTCCAAAACGTGGGATAATACTAGAGGAAAGAGTAAAAAGGACAAGCTTTGAAAAATCCAATAGAAGTGAAATAAATGGTAAATTCACACTTGACTACACATCTATAGTTGGGGCTTATTGACACTCCCAGCCAAACATGTCAAAGGTTAAGAGATCTTACCCACTGCAAATAGGAAGCAAAAATACCTTTTTCAAAAGCTCAATGGGCCATCAGCGGCACTTCCACAGCAGGAGATCAATGGCATACGAGTGACATTCACTTTTGTCTCTCAAAGAATTAATTTGTCCCCATTGTCCTCCTCCACTCTGAAGTAATTTGGATTTTGTCTGAACACAAAGAAGCCACTGCCCTATGTGGTTAATTGTATGTGATTAAAAAGGATGTTTTGAGTGTAATTTAAATTAAACTTAACTGTAAATCTTTTATATGCATGTATATAAGCATGTATTGCCATTTATTGACTTCATGAGTTTCTGATTAGTCCGAGTCTGAGGCAGTCTGAGGCTTTGAACAATAGAGTGACACTGGATCTAACTGGTGTCTGTAGATGTGTAGTATTCATCTGGTCAAATCTTCAGCTAGGTAGCATTAGGTAGAATGTAAGAAATTCTCACTTACAAATGTGACCTGGGTTGACTTGCTGGAACCAGAGTAAAACACGAAGAAGCAATGATATACGGTTAAAAAAGACATTTTTCCCATTTGTCCCTAAATCTTAAGAAAACATGTCTCAACATGCTTATAGCACTTGAAGTATTGTTTGTTACTGCTGGTACCACTTTCAGGCACCAGCGGTTTTCATTGGCTTGGGCTAATGCCTCATAAATCGTAGCAGAGCTCCTATCGCTGCTCGGCCTGGGGCTAATTGCTTATGAGTGTTTTGCACACTCCAGGTGCCACCAGAGGTCCGGCGCTGTTTGTAAACAGAGCTTGTAAAGTGGAGACAGCCATCAAAGTGTTAAAGTTTCCTGTGAGGATCAGAGGCAGCGGTCATGATGGGGGTGCAGCTGGGTTGATACCTGGATGCTCTGTGGCATTCCCCTGTCCCTGCAGCTGTGGCAGAAGAAAGACACTCAACAGTCCCATGTTTGTTTACCCTCTCCTCCATCTCCTCTTTGTACTGTCTGTGTGTGAGAGAGGATGACCTCACTGAGGAAGCATGACTGCCCATACTCAGAGCTTTAAAGGCTTTCAAACATGTCTCGAGTGATGGCAGCAGCAGATGTGTAGGTCTCCGTCTTCTGATGTGATCCAAGAGCCCAGCACTAACTGCTTGATGCTATCAGCAGCTGTCCTCTTTAGAAGAGCTACGGTCAAGTGTGTGTGAGCCCAACATGTGGACAACACAATATGCAAGTGTTCAAAATTTCATTTTGAAAGAAAGATGCAATATCTCTTTCTGTGCGCCTGTGTTAATGTTTTTTTGAATTCTCGTCAAGTGGATTGCTTAAATGCTATACACTGAATGAATACAACTATACAGTAAGTTGTTGTCTGTCTGTGAAATGGATGCCCTAAAACCCACAGCTAATTGGCCACAGTCTGGGTTGTACATCTCTTTAGGCTAGAGTATGTGTCAGTTGCTGGGAATAAGGGGAGTAGATACATGAAAACTATGCACAACCTATGAGCTGTAATCAGGGGAGTTGATAAAGACTTGAGAAAGGAGTCTGTTGTCCTGAGCCCCAGGGTCTTATGGGCCCAGAACTGGAACATCTGCATATGAATTAATATTAGAGGGGGGCCCATGTGAGGCTTCATGTCCTGGACTCCCAAATTTGTGTCAACAGGCTAATATACCATGTATGTTAGATTTCACCCTGGATCTAGCTATCAGATGTTATGTAACATAATAAATATGACTTTAGTGAATCTTTATCTTTATTTAAATGTGGCTCTGTATATTGTATTCATACATTTGATGAATAGATGATAAAACAGTAGATTTTATATGCTGGCACCAGTCTCAAATCACCTTCGCACCTTTGGCTCCATGTTTACACCACATTTCCAAAACAAGCACAAACATCCAGCCATGGTTTGCTACTTCGGGTAAAATGTTTTCCTTCTGAACACACCAGGCTTACAAGGGTGTAACGAGGAGATTTTATGGTGTGATTAGATAGTTGACCACATGAGGGTATTTTTGAAGATGTAAGTGGGCAGAAAAAGATAATGATAAGAAAGATCCATGGCATGTAATCAGTCTCTATTCAGCCTCTCCAGGTCATCACCCAAACATCTCCTTAGTGTAACCACGACATATGTGCACCTTTATGTTTGATAGAAAGCAAAGGATACAATTAACCAACATGTCTGAAAGCTTTTACAACCTTTTAGGGCCTTTTAAGCATTAGATAAGTGGCAGGCATGCACGGGTTTTATGTCCAACAATAAACAAGCTGTTGTATCATCTGGGGGAGGGACACTCTTACAAATTTGATCAAACAGACATGTGTTATGTAACTGTGGGCTAATTAACGGCATGTATAAAGTGTAGAGAGGCATAGTGTCATTTGGAAAGTTTGTCCGTTACATGTTAATGACATGCTTGCAATAATGATTATAGATGTGCTCAAACTTAACTTGATCTTGGCTGATGTACAAGTATAATTATTGGATGGTTAAATGAATCACAAGTATGGAAATATTATTTGCAGTATATACTATATTAGATTCAACCAATCTCCAGAGGTCTTAATCTTTAATCTGCTTTTTTTGTCACTTTTATTTATATTTGATAGTACACTCACTGTTAGTGATATATTTCCTACCACTATAATTAAAACATTTCATTACTTTACCCTAACTGCTAACCAGTGTCACCAAAATCCACAATATGCCTGTATGTGTGCAATGATTTGCATATTCATTACTTTTAGGATCATTCCAAACACAACACACTGACATTTTGGGACCAGCATAAGGAGTACAGCTGTCAGCAGTCACTTCCAGTGGCTGGATTACATGAGACATAAATAATATGATTTAAGGCTGTCTTATGGAGTAGTGTCATAACAATACCGATTTCAATACCATAATGTAATTTTCAACAAAAAATAATTGTTTCCATGTCCATGTAATCTTATATAAGCCTGATATAGCTCAAGATTCGGAAAGATCCATTTCTTCCCTATTTTTCAGTATCATTATTTCAGATGAGAACCTAATTTTGATACTCTTTTTAATATTGATTAGTATCTGTATAAGTATATTGATTGGCAACTTTAACACAGACTATCTTTGTCTGTTGTATCTGCGACTTGTCCTGCCTCTCCTCCCCTGAGTGCATGGCTGTCTGCTTTTCTACTTGCTAATGCCACAGTGTCTTTTGATGGGGGAAACTCCCAGAGCCCTATGTTCCTAACCCAGACTCTTGTTCCCTTTTTTGCAGGCCTGATGGAAATCCGATCAGTCAGTGTTGGAGTTGTTGCCATCAAATCTGTCAGCACTGGTCTGTACCTAGCCATGTCCAAGAAAGGCACGCTCTTCGGATCGGTGAGTCTACAAGCTGGTTGATATGGGAGGGCTAGAAAGGGACAGAGATGCGCATAGACGTCCCAAATGGGTGCTTAATAAAAAAAGCCCAAATCAGAAATAATCAAGGGTCTCATTTATAAAACTTTACATGGAATTCCTACTAAAAGTATTAATATGGATAAAACACTAATTTCCACAAACTTCCTCAAACTTGTTCACTTTTTGTTTCTTTGGTAATAATAATAATGCCTTGCACTTGAAATACTCTTTACAGGCTTTTCAAAGCCCCTCAAAGCTCTACACTGCAGTCATAGTAAGCTCCTATTGTAGCTACAGCTGCCCTGCAAAAGACTGATGGAAGTGAGACTGCCAATCTGCGCCATCGACTCCTCCGACCACCTCCAGTCATTCACACACCACTTTCATACTAGGCAATGGGGGTGAAGTGTCTTTCCTGAGGACACAATGACTGAAAACACTGACGCTCAAAGTTCTGACTTTCACACCAGACCGCTCATTTTCAAGTTAAGTTGTCTATTTATAGATCATAAATTTAACGTAGAAAATCATGTACATAACATTTTTGATCCAAACTAGCACAATTTCAGGTTTAAAAATGTAAAGTTAGTGGTGGACAATAATGACAAAAAAGAATAGACTCGCAATAATGATATTTAGACAATATTATGTCCATATTCAAATTTATATATCATCAAGACAGCATTCACAATATTATCTTGTTCTGCATTTCAGTATCTGCCCACCTTTACATAATGTCTACACTTAGGTCCAACCAAGCCTAAGTCTGAACCAGGTCTAAAGGTTTAAGCCAGATCTGGGAGGAAGGGGCCACGGGTGGTCCATGCATGTGCATAGGGGTCCCAAATGGCTGAATTCTCAGACATGTTTGATATTTCCAGTGGAGTGAAGGGAAATCCCAGGAATCCCCATGGTCTAGTTTAAGGTCAGACTGTTGCTATCCATCATGCCAGTACACCTGAGCCCGTCTTGATGATACCTGCAGCTTGTTCTCTGTCAAAATACAGCAGAGAGAAGAAAAGCAACCACGACAAAGAGGCCAGCTGGGGCGTCTTTAAAGTGTGCGTGCCATCTGCCACTTGTTGTTCGCACAGCAAGCTTTCAAACATAATCACAGTTCTTTGTGGAGACCAGACACACACCAAGCCCGGGGTATATGTTGGATACTAAACGTATAAAGGTATAAAGATTAAAAGAGATAGCACAAGCAACAGCAAAAACCAAAAATGAAAATCTACCATAACAGATGCAGGACTAAATCTGGACTAAATCAGGTAAACATGGAATATAAAGAATTTAAGTTTAAAGGTTTACTATGTTACTTTTCTGGGGGAGGCCACCTGCTTGTTGCCAGGTCTTATGTTATTGGTTTGCTTTAAATTTGCTTCAAATTTATCAAGCTATTTTAGAGCAATAAAAACATAGAAAACATAGAATACATGCAAAATAGATAAGTTTAATACCATACTGTGTAACATTCCAGGAGACAAGCAGACAGAGAACCCTCCCCACACACACACACACACACACACATAAAACATTACATAGTGCACCTGAACTAACTTGAATCCAAAACAATGTCGATACCTGGACAAATATGAGGCTAAATACGGACTAAACCAGGTCAAAGAGAATCACTCATCAAAGCATTGTAGCAAATTAACCCATGCTATGAATTCTCAGTAAAAAGACACAGTCAGGTGAGTCAAGCCAAGCCTTTACTATCCTGATGGTATCTCAAAGGGGGGCTCATTATAGCACAGAGATACAGATCTGGAAAAGGGAATGCAGCAGGCGCTCTTGTCTCTGTGATATCTGTCAAGACTCTTTGAGAAGCTGATAAGACCTGGTAACCACCCATGGAAGCGCAATGTGTGCACTCTCCACTGTTGGTTTGTCCCCAAAGATGAACAAAGATAAATGCTTCTGCCCTTAAAGACATGTTGCTCTAGTTAAGTTCATTAGTTAGTTACTTCATTTTTAATTTTTATTTTTTATTTACACTAAACGGTAACACAAAAAAATAAAATAAATAAATAACAGAATAAAATTAATTAAAACTCTTAACTTAAAAACACCACTTCCTGGAACATAGTGTAAAATAAATTATTCAAACAATCCACCTGGAAGTATTTTGCTACATCCACAAACATTAACCTTTGAACTCTTCTTAGAGGGGGGCCTATGTACCATAACTGTGGCAGAAGAGTAGTTATAGCTTTGTCAGAGATGGACACCTTTGACCTCTGACCTCTGCCCACAGGTGAAGTACAACCCGAGCTGCAAGTTCAAGGAGCGCATCGAGGAGAATGGATACAACACGTACGCCTCCCTGCGCTGGAAACATGGCGGCCGGCAGATGTTTGTGTCTCTGAATGGGAGAGGGAAACCAAGGCGAGGTCACAAGGCCCGGAGGAGGCACCCGTCCACCCACTTTCTGCCCATGCTCCCCTCCTAGCTGCTCATCATGGACTACTATTGGCCCTGTGTACATTTGTTTTTATAACTTTTATTGAGTTAGTCAAAATGTCTAAGTTATTTTCTGTGACTTCTTATTGTTATTCAGTGCGAGATAAGTTAAGCTATGGCTTGACAACAGTTACTGACCATTTGTGTGTATTGTTTGAAACTTTACACAATATGCAATTCCATAACATGCTCAACATAAGAAATAATGTTATCAGCAATAGCTCTCTACTTTATGTCTGCCTTAAGACTCATCAACTTAAGTAACCATTCATCAGTGAAAATGGCATGGTTTATCATTTGTGTATATTATTCTGCCAGGACACATCCTTTTCATTTAAAAAAATGTCATTCCAACCAAGAAAGGCTGACCAGGCTACCGAGCCCTGACTCCAAGAACTTGATTTACATATTTTGTAAGTACAAGTGGGACTGAATACATCCATGTACAAAACATTATTATCAATACTGAAACTAAGCTGTCAGTTAACTTCTGTGTATAGCTATCATTCATTGTACATCTCATTCATAGAGACTCATAATACTCAAATAATACATGTCTCATCTAATGTAGTCATTCAGCATGGTTGACATTTCATATTTCAAATATCTGTTGACGTTTGTACATGGTTTAGTGTGACTAACACTTAAAGACAGGCCTCTTGTTGATAGAACATAATATATTTAAAATGTTTTAATCACTGTTTGCAGACAACGCTGTAACTACATACTCCATTTCATGCCAGATTTGATCTGTAAAAAAGGGGAAAATATCACGTACACTGATATTAAGATTCATAGAGTAACAGTGGTTAAAGATCTGCTTATACAATTCAGAATGTACATTTTGCAATTACATCAGCTGTGGCCGTAATAATGTACAATAATGTATATGAATATACAGTAACAAAGAAACATCACAGCATGTTGGTTTGCACTTTTACAGTACAGTGCGGTTAAATGGTTTTCCTATAATCTGCCAGTATTTTAGTACAGATTTTTTTTTTTTTTTTTGTTTCCAGTGTACTGTTTTAAAACCAAGTTTCAAATTCAACTGTTTGAGTGCCTTGGTTTTTGTTGAGTTTGACAATAAAAACAAATGCAGACTTGCAATGCTTATACACTTCTATGGGTATTCTTTGAAAAACATCTTTATCACATGTTTGACCTAGCCTCATTATTATAATCATGAAACAGCTCACAGCAGGACAGGCACTGATACTGAGGACTTCCCTGTGCCTTTTCTCTGTACTACACACAGAGACAGAGCTTGCAGGGAGACAGACGGCCACTTGTACCAAGTGGAGGGTTATGAATACTGCTGAAAGGAAGGCCATCTCTGTCATGGTGCGAGATCACTGCAACTAGGCACATGTCTGCACACACTGCTAGAACAGCACAACTGAAGAGTTTCAGAGAGCTGTGGGTGCAGTCCAAAGGCCCTGTAAGCTCTATACCAATTAAAGTTATTATCTGATGTACAAGCAGCTAAATATCTAAATATCATCTCAAGGATATAATCGGTAAGTCAGTTATCAATAGATTATGTTTACATGTATGACCCACCCTCAGCTGACTCTTCTCCCTGAAGGAGCAGCAGCTCTGCACCGAGCTTCCTCGGGGTGACTGGGTTCCCTTCTCTCTTATATCTCTGAGAGGGAGAAACTTATTCATGACCTGGTCTGTGACCATAGCTGAGGTTTAGAGTTTTCTCTAACTCAGACCTTTGTTTTTCAGTTCAGTACATTCTCTACAGCAACAGATGAGTGTATATTTATGATATTTTTGTAGATGCCCAACAAGATAAGTCTTGAATCATTTAACTTTAGAAAACAAAAGCTCAAAGATTGGGATATTTTTATCATTGATTTGCTTCAACATCAGAAGCAGTTATTTCTGTCCTTCTACTTCTGCCCTTCTTTATAAACCATCCAAGAATCTTATTTCTCCTCTTTGGCCTGCGGGTGCAGCGGGGTGCTGGTGCCAGTTCCTGGGACACTAAATGGGAGCTGTAATTATCTACCACTGTCCTGTCAGTGCACTCTCCAGCCAAACAAGCCCAAACCTTTGGAAGCCCTGATCAAAAGCCTCAGCCTTTGATCATAAAACAAAACTCTAACACACTGGAAAATAATGTGGAATGTCCCAAATGAGACGAAAGCAGGGGTGTTCTATCTAAGTCAATGTAAAGATGATGAAGGATCCATATAAATTCAAATATAGTTTGTAAAAAAAAAACCAAATGTCTCACATCAACCTTTTATAACTATCTTTGCTCAGCTAGTTTTAAACTCAGCATTCCACTCCACATCTCTTTTTATCAGTTTTAATATTTGTTCTATTATCTTTTTTTTTTTTTTTTTTGAACCACCAACAGTGTCTAGGCCCCAGGGTGATGGAACATAACCTGCCTTCACCTCCTATGGATCCCTCGCAGCTTCCTGCCTCTAAGCATCAAAGCCATATTAATAGCCATGACTGTCTGTGTATTGTATACTGAAGGTCCATGCAACTTTCAACTCATAATTTTCATCTAGGAAAAAGTAAATGCAAAAAAGCATCAACTGTGTCATAAGCACAAATAGATACAAGGATAGAAATCTGCAGCTGAGTGACAAAAAAACTTCCAATTTGTGGAGCCTTCGCCAAAATCTACAGGGGCACAAGTCATGCAGCTCCAGCAACAACAAACTACAGCTTCTGAAACCTTTGAAACCCTGTGTGGCCATTTTCTCTCACAGCGGCTGAAAAGAACTGTGGTGGGTAGAGAAAAAAGCTCCCCTCGCCACTCATAATACCAATCTTATGTATGTCGACCCAAATGGGATGGACGGGAGGGGGCGGCGGGGTGGCAGACGGACTAAGGCACAATTTTAAAGCGCTTATTGAATTGCCATTACAGGTCCTGAGACTAATTGTGGCTGTTGTGTGTCCCTCGGTGGCCTAGGGGGCTATGGAGTGGCCTGTATGCTCTTACCCAGTAGGGTGAAAGGGAGCCGGACCACCATAGATCAATGGCAAACCTTTCACTCTTTCACAGGGCTTTGCTAATCCTCCTCATTTGTCTGCCATTTGTTGGAGGCACATTCACAGTTCTGCGAATTTAGGATTAGGCCTTGTTTTGTTACAAAAACAGCCCAAGTTATAGTAATGCCAAATGAAATGAACCAAGGACATGCCGAAGGATGAGTTGTGGAGAGTGTAGGTATCAGTAAATTACTGTAAATTAAAAAACAAGTGACTATTGTACATCATACAAACAATTGCAACCTACAAAATAAAAGTGGATTATGTTTTTATAATTTGCCTGGAACATTAGTGGCTAAGTATAAATTATTAAATCCATAAATGAGGTTGGATCTTTTTTCTGCCTGGTGTGCATAGAGGAGCAACAACGAACGACAAATGAGAGGAGTCTTTTTCCAGTAGCACAACGTGATATTTCTGATTTATCAACATCCAATCTGTGTAAATAAAAACACTGTTTTTGACCAAACCTTTGAAGTAAATTGAAGTGTGTGCTCAGTGAGTGGTGTGTTGACAGCGCGGCAGTTCACTGCAGTCATCAGTCTGGCTCTTCTCATCACAGTCTGGATTAGAGTCCACATGTAAATCCACTCACTCCACACGAGCGGAGCTGCTGAGTGGCACACGGGGCACTTCTCCCCTGGGCACAGGTATGTGGAGCCGGGACCTCCTGCCTCATGTCGGGCATTCTCTGGATGCCAGCAGCTGTGCCAGCCACAGGGGGGCAAGGCCAGAGAAGCAAATGTGTATTATGCTGTTCTTGGCAAATATACTGCCATTCATATTGTGTTCAATGTACTTAGCAAGTATATTAAACAGTTTAGAAAAGTTGATCAATTTGTAAACTACTTGCTTAATATAGTTTGGTTACTAAAATATTGTACACTATTATGGTTTGTCTAACTATTTTAACCTAATCACAATAATATGGAAGATTGAGTCAGGAGCCACAGAACAAAAATCTATTCCAAATTAATTACAGTAAGACATTAATTTCAGCTCCACCCAGAGTATAAGTAGTGTGATGTTATCAAGCTAACAGTCCACTTTTGCAACAATTCTACCTTAAATGAGGTCAGCCTAGCCAAAGTAAAAAGAGCATTATTTAGTAGACACCAGTGTAAATTGGATTCCTTTGAGCTGGTTCTCGTCCCACAGAAACTGCATCATGAAATTGTCATCTGCTGGAAGAACCTGGAAAAGTCAGAACAAATTTATATAAAGACTGAGCACCTCCAAATCTCTGCAACCCTTCGGAATGAATTACTGCTGATGAAGTACAACTCCAGGCCGCCTGTATTCTGTCACTAGGAGCATGGGCCTATTCCCTCAACACAGCACTTTTCACTCTCTGCACAGGTTAACAAGTTGATGGTGTTCCTCAAACAAAAGTTGAGTTGTAGGTTGTGTACTACTAGTTGTGTAGTACTGTTTTTTTGTTTTTTTGTTTGTTTTTGTTTGTTTATAACTGTAGTATTACTAACAATTGTGCATAGCTCCATTTTTACACTTTTATCTATAATACAGTGCTAGAATTAGATCAGTACTATTAATAATATCTTTAGTTATATCATTTGTTGAGTTCTTATTTATGTTGTATAAAGAAGTTAACTTTTTATCTTTAAACTACATGCTCTCCAGAGAAACCGTCATAGTCAAGTGGCGCCCCCTTGTGCTCAACATACGGCAATGCTTTTCTTATCTCTAACCCTGTTTGCTCATTTTCAAGATGTTTTCTGTATTTTAGTTAACGACAATATATGCCCCTCTTTACCTTTGGCAGGGATCAGATTGGTCAAAATTAGGGACACCTGAGACAAATCCTTAGTTTTAAATAAATCTACTGGGACAAGGGATACAGGGCTCAAAACTGGGACTGTCCCAGGTAAATGTCATTTAAGTCATAATCCATGTTCAACATTTTCAAAACTATCATTCAGCTTGAAATCAGATTTGCATTTGACTCAGATCCATCATTCACCTTAAAGGAACTGTAAATAAGTTTGATGTTAAAATTCCATCTGTGTAAATGTGTTCAAATCAAATCTAGTTTTTACTGATGACAATTGTAACAACAGTGGCCTCACTGAGGGCCATAGACTGATGGTCATTACAGTGAATAATTACAATATGTGCATTTATAACAGGTTAGAATGAGCCACAAAACCTTTATCAATGCTCAGATCTTCAATAAAAAACACTCAATATTTTATTACGGCCTTATGAAGGTAGATATAGCGATAGATAGAGAGATAGGTTAATACTTTATTGATTCCAAAGGAAATTTATTTTTTAATAATAATAATAATAATAATAACAATAATAATAATAATTAATTTGTAATAATAATAATAATAATAATAATAATAATTATTAATAATTATTATTATTATTATTATTATTATTATTATTATTATTAAAGCAGTAATTCATCATTCATAGAAATGTGTGTGTCCGTAGAACAGGTACAACAACCTGTCCCCAAATGTGCTGTTCGGTGAAAAAACAAGTTGCATGATTTTAAGTCAATGATGCCTGTTGGCCTAAATAGCAAATTGAAGATAAACTCTTTTAACAACTAAAATAATTTTAGTTGTTAAATATGTTCAATAGTTTTCTTATGTAATTGTGGGCTTCTACCCTTTTTCTTACCAGTATGATTATTCCATTCATTTTTGACAATACTAAAAATTTTATTTTGTTCTGAAATTCAAAATAAATAATTTCACAACAAATCTCTGTGATATACTTGGATATATAAAGGTCAGATTAACAGCACATATACAAAAAATGTGCCTTTTGGTGCTCTTCAGTGTAGGGACCAGTCTTATTTTGTACTTTTTGAATGCCTCAGTTTTTTCTACTTTTTTCTACTTTGTATATGAAATTAACACAACAGGAGGGTTAGAACTGGATTGGTTTAAGCACTGGTTTAACTGTTTAAAGCTGTACAAAAGTTAATAAATATAAACTTTTTGCTGACAAATATTTTTGTACTGTATGTAATGCTACATTTAAGATAATCCAACTACTGGTACTTTTTAATAAAAAAAAAAATAAAGTAAATAAAATATATTTACATGATGTTTGCTACTTGTTGTGAGTTTGCTAACCAAGTAAGATATCAGACCACATAAGATAACAGTCAAAACCAAACAGACAGATCTGATTACAACTTAACCAAGTGAAGAAGTCACATAAGGACATTCTTGGAAACAGGTCAGTTATTAAAGAGCTAAACCCAGACATGTTATATAGTGTTAACACTCTAATTGTAATTGTAACATGATTTTCTTCATTTGCTGTATTTTTTAATTTTGCACGCTGCCATAATCACACTCAATCAATCTGCAGGCTTCACATGAGTCAGTGGACTGTGTCTGAGCACAGGCATTACATACATAGGCATATTTAGGTTATATATAAGGTTTTATAGAACTAATTCAACATTGTGTCTTCATAGACAGGCAATTTGTCCATTGCATTAGAATTTAACTCTTTCAATGCTGCTGGTGCAACTAGCCAAAAACACTCATAATTCAAGAGGTTCAAGATTAAAGATGCAAGATTAGCCCAGAGATTCAAAACTGTGTGTGAAACACATATTAGTGCCCCAGATATGAACCAGACTTCAGACAACAGGAAATGTAAACAGGTGATGGAAAACCCTGACTGAAGAAGTTTCACTTATGCATGGCGTTCTAAGAATGTGGTCCCTTCATTCATTATGAGAACACAACCAAATTATGAAGAACTTTGCACAAAAACACAGTAAGAGTGAGAACTGCTAGCCAGGATGCCATGATAATTGATGAGCTCATACTGAGATGGAAGTATCAACTCAAACACAATAATACAAGTACTGATACTGCAGTCCTGATCTAACAATCATGAATGTTCACTAGTTAATCGCTCTGTTCAACTATCCACTACCTAGTTAAATTATTTCAAAATCTCTTTTATCAAATCAATCTTTATTTATAAAGCATTTTTCATACAAAAATTTACCACAAAGCACTTTACAGTCAATTAAAACAATCTCACATGCACAGTCTCATCCACATGTACACACACAGCAAAACACACACACTAAAATAATAGGTACAGATAAATGAGGCTGAGTACAGACAAACCAGTTGAGGAAGAACCATCAGACGAGCTATCTGCGCCAGGAGCAGAGAGGTGCCTGTGTCCACCAGGACACCGCCAAAGGTCCTAGGCGAGAGTAGGCCCAAACACCAACCCTCCATCAGTGATTAAAAAAAAAAAGTGGCAATCCTTTGCCATGGATTCTACCTGGATGACTGAGGGATTCTACACACATCAAACAATATGAGTAAAAAGCAGTTAGTTAGTTTACGTATTTAATGAGCAAAGAACAATAATATAAAACTTCTCCAACAACATGGTAAGCCTAAAAATAAATAAAATGCATGTAATAATAAACAAATAAAAAAATAAATATGAATCAAAAACTAAGCTAAAAAGGTGGGTCTTGAGCTTGCTCTTAAAAACATTCTCTTTGGCCCTGTGGTCCTCCTGTAGGCTGATAAGAGCCGTAGGACTGGAAAGACACCTCACTGTAAGTGTGACTGACAAGGAGCCTGCTGCAGGAGGAAAGCAGGTCTGCGAGGGTTCATAGGGCAAAAGCAGTTCTGAAAGATAAGAAGACCCACTACCATTAAGATGTTTAAAAAAAGAGTAAAAGAAGGTCCAGTCCTCTGGTCCTAGTTAGAGCATGGCTACTGAATTTTTGTAATAATAAAATACTGTTTTTAAGTAGACCAGAAAGCAGGGCATTAAAGTAGTCTCTTCAACTGGTGATAAAAGCATCAGTGTCTCTGTGTTGGCACATGAGAGAATGGGGCAGACTCGGGCTATTTTTCAGGTGAACCTATTTTTGTCGTTTTTAAAGTCAGTTCAGAGCTAATAACACCCAATGTTTTAACTTGTGGAGATGGATTAAAAGACTGTACTTGTAGTTTAGGTAAAAGTTTCTTTCTCTGGACCTCAGGACAGATGACTAAAAACCTTTAGTTTTGTCTTGGTTAAGCTGGAGAATGTTTTCTGTCATCCTAGATCTGATATATGAAATACAGTTAAAAAGAGCATCCATTGGCATGGTGTCATCAGAAGATATGGAGGTATAAAGCTGTATATTATCTACATAACTGTGGAAGTTAATTCCATATTTCCTGACAACACTGTCAAGAGGGTTAAAAATAACCTGAGACAAAGAACTATGAGATAACACCAAACTGTCAAGTGGTGATGCAAGCTCTTTGTAAAATAATCATACAGAATCTATAGTTTTGGAAATACATCAAATTAAACGATAATTACATGCCCCAGTGCTATGTAAAAACTGAAATAACACATTGATATAATGGCTAAGACAGACTGGTGCAATGATGATAAAAGTTGAGAGACTTAGATACTAATAGTCACACATCCTGAGTGACATCCTGTTTGCTAATATGGAGAGGATGAAGGTAAGATCGCTGATAAAGCAGCATTCTAATAAAAGACGATCAGTTGATGTTTTCTGCTGTTGTCAACATGTACACGGCCGTATCCTTCATACTGCTTTGTCTTCTCATCTCAAGCAGGCAAAATGGTAAGAAAAACAATTTAGTAAACCGATTTAGGCTTTGAGTTGATCTTGAGTATCCATTGTGTCTTGAGTGTTTGGAGGTAGGATCATTAATGGAGAGAGAGTTCCAGATGGGATCCTGCAGTACATGGCTTCTCTGCAGAACGACATAGGGAAACATTTATGTGGAGGCTTCCTCATTAGTGACTCGTTTGTGGTCACCGCAGCTCATTGTGAATATGGGTAAGTGTCTGTATAACTCAAATGTATTTTTTATCTCTCACATGTTTAAAAGAACATGGAACAATTTCTCTATTACTAAGTTCTAAGTTTTAACCTCAGGATGCAGATCAAATTGAGCAGCGGCTTCCAAACAGCAGCTAGTTTTCAAAAAGTCCAAATTGTTCTTAAACGTGATCTTGAGGTCTTATATTTGTAGTTATGTATGGTTATATTTTTAGGTGGAATCTCTTTATCCCACAAAAGAATCATTTGTTAGACACTGATGAAAACTGATAAAATTCTTATAAGAACAAAAGTCTTTATTATACTATATCTTTCAGCAAACCCAAAAGTGTTGTCCTTGGAACATCTGATCTTAGCAACGTTGATGATACTATGAGATACAGTATCAGGAAATGCAAAGCTCCTTTTACATTTGATCTTGGCTCAGACATGATGCTCCTTAAAGTAAGTATCATGTAATTATCTCAGCTAAAACACTATGCAAACTATACACTACTTTACTATTGTCCAGCTGTCCAGACCATGCCCACTCAAACCGGTGCCACTGCCCCCGCCTGAGGTAAAACTGCTTGAAGATGCCCAGTGCAGAGTGGCAGGCTGGGGATCAACCCAAACCAGTGGCTCTATGTCTGACAACCTGAGAATGGTGCAGGTCTCCATCATAAGTCACAAGATATGTTCAAATAAATGGGCTGAAGCTGATATAAAATTGCCAGACGACGTTATCTGTGCAGGGGGGTACAAGACAACGAAAGGATTCTGTCAGGTAAGGATTTCTATTCACAGCTATAGTTTGCTATACTTGTTAAATTGTTTTATATTTTTCTTTTTTTCTTTCAGGGAGATTCAGGTGGGCCACTGATCTGTAATGGAACAGCAGTTGGAGTTGTGTCTTTCAATTATTTAAGCATTTGTGACTATCCAACTTTCCCCAATGTTTACACAAGCCTGATTAAGTTCCTTCCCTGGATCAAAAATGTAGTCTCACAAAATGACTGCTAATTAATTCAGATGTGCTTGGATGATTATGGCACACCATTTTATACTTAAATAAAGCATTCTGTCATAATTCCATGTATATTTTCTACATGTATTCTGCTAACCCAAAAAGGAATTCATACAGTACCTCAAATTTTCTATTTAAAAATATATTAATTATAATTACATAAACATTGAATTAGTTGTTACAAATGGAATAGTTTAAAGAGTTTGGCAAGTATCCATCAATGAAAAGTTCTCAACATTAACATGTAACAACCAACAATAGACAAAACTTGAATAATTATGGTTACACCTTTAAAAGTGCACTATTCTGGAGCTAAAACAAATAAACAAATAAATGCAATATTGATATGTGTAATACAATACACCAGACTATCCAGGCAAAGCAATAACATCTCCAGGAAATACATAGATCCTCCACCAGAAAAGTTATGTGGAGCATGTTTTTCCTCTATTATACAGAATTAACATTTTAGACAAAACCCAAATGCAAAGACTGCCATTCCAAATCAAGAACATAGTTGCTTTCTCTATCAAATTCAAAAACTACTTGATACAAAGATATGGTGTGGGATGCACTCTAAGATGCAGATCAGTTATGACTCACACTGATACTGCATTTACGTCTGCATATAAGGGCCCACCCAGTCAACAGTCTACAAGCACCATGCATCCCTACCACAAGCTTATGCTGATTCTGCTACTGGCGGGTGGGGGTCAAACAGGTGAGACTTCTACTTAAGTCATACATAAGCTTGTTAGTTACAATGTATTAACTTATTCTTCTTCATTCAGCACATGGGGCTAAGATCATAAACGGCCACCCAGTCCCAGACAACGTAATGTTGTACATGGCATCTCTGCAGAATGACAGTGGACACATGTGTGGAGGTTTCCTGGTCAAAGACAACTTTGTACTAACTGCCGCTCACTGTGACAAGTAAGTTGTTGCATCTTCAGCCATTTATTTATTACAGTGGACTATATATAAGCTTTGAAATTAAACATGTTTTGATTTTTTAGGGTTTTAAGTGTGGTTCTTGGAACACACCACCTCAACTCTGCCTCCAATGATATGAGATATAATGTGCTGAAAAAGTGCAAGCATCCAGACTATGTGAATGCCGCTTCGGGGAATGATATCATGCTTCTTAAGGTTAGTATTTAAATAAAGTATAGTGTCAAAAATTTTACCAAAGTAACCTAAATGTGAACATTTCTGCAGCTATCTCGAACTGCTCAAGGCGCTAAGGTCAAGGTCATTGATCTTCCAGAAAGTCCAGTTACATCTCTGGCAGACAAAACCTGTGAGGTTGCAGGATGGGGTTATGAGGTCAGCCAAGGTAAACCTGTGAATGACCTGAAGAAAACAAGTGTCAAGATCTTCTCTGAGGATGAATGTGAGAGGAGATTGAACAAAGCTTTCCCTCACAACACCATCTGTGCGGGCGGAGCTAACACTAGCAAGGGATTCTGCCAGGTACTCTGTCACATGAACACAATTTCACTTTTAATAATAATTAAAAAATAAATAAACATAAAAATAAACATATTTCTTCTGCTTTTAGGGTGACTCAGGTGGTCCCCTGGTGTGCAAAGGTGTTCCAGTCGGCATTGTGTCCTTCAACCTAAAAGATTGTTCATATAATAATGGAAAAGGTTTCCCCAATGTGTACACTGATATTTCTCCCTTTCTTTCCTGGATCAATGACATTTTGAACAGAGGGGACTGTTAATTACGGTAGCTGGTTCAAGCTTGTTTAGTTTAGTGTCCAATTATACTAGGTCTGCATTGGAAAACAACATAACAATTATAATAAAAACCTTGTTGCAACAGTCACGGTTTTGTGTAATAATTTCACCAAAGTATTTATATGGAAGAATTTCTCTGATATAATTGTTGATAAATTTTGATCATTTCAAACCTCTGAGAACCTTTTTAACATTGTTTTTGGAATATTTAATCTATGTCACGATTGAGTATTGTATATTTAAAATAATTAATATAGATTAATTTGGAAACCACCTGATGCAGCAAATGACTCAAATCAAGTCACAAGATTAAATGTAATTCACATTAATAACTAATAAATAATAATAATACTGTAATAATAAAATAAAAAAAAATTGAACTTTATTAAAGAAGCTTCTCTCACACATCGGTGTGGTGATGTGGGGCTTTGGGACAGTATGTGTTAGGGGCCTAGTGGTAAAATCACCTACCTATCAAGTAATAGGCAGGCCATTCTTTAATAGAACAATAAAAACATTTAATCCTCAAGAAAATATGGTCAAATAATAAAAAACTATATAAGTGCACCACTTCTGTTTTATGAACCTGATGAAAAAACTCCAGTAAATGAATGAATGAATGAATAAATAAATAAATAAATAAATAAATAAATAAAACATGCAGTTAACCATATAATATGCCTCCAATTATAGACTTTCCATAAATATAAGCAAACTTCAAAATTCACCCAATGTCAACTTTGATATTTTGATTAGAGTTCACACGAAAAAGAGCTTTTAAAAATGATTACAACTCTGAGAAGCAGACACTGTGGTCAGTGCGGCTTCAAAATATAGCAACCACTATCTTCCATCATCTCTCCATCATCATTTCATATCAATTTGAGTGACCTACTTTCAATTCAAAAAATCAGATAAGTACCATTACAAACAAAATCCAGTGAATGTGTAAAATATTCACTCATGTATTCTCTTGTAACATGAATGTCAACAGAAGGTTTTTGAGCAACTAACGGTAATGCTTACAGAAGTGATGGTGAATATGACCCAAGAGTCCACACACACTATTTTCAACTCTATGTAATGCCATGGTATTTGTACACAAAGCCTACTTTCACACTGAAATAATATCAATTATAACTGCATTATTCAAAGCATTGAGCAAAAGCTGAAACAATATCATGCCCACTAAAATATGATTAATCTTTCACAAAACCATACTTTCATACTTTAACTGAAGAATTTTGAGTATTCTAGAAATGTGATTATCTTTATGTCTATTTAAGCAACATTTTGTGTGTTTCGGCTTGTACAGTGTGTAGCTTCTGGTTTGATAAACATCTCCCCTGCTGACTGACTGAGAATGTAAATAGGTGACATAGTGTTTCTACTTACCAAAGGCACTGAAGGATGCTCCATCCATAAATCATCACAGTGTTTCTCTGTGTTTCCACCGCAGATTGGTGGGTCTTTGTCTGTTTCATTTTAAGTTCTTTCTTTCTTTGCAGTGACTGGGAGTGTGATAGTAAATGGAGACACACTTTCAGATGGAGCCATGCAGTACATGGCCTCAGTGCAGAACCCGATGGGTCATGCGTGTGGAGGCTTTTTAGTGAGTGATCAGTTTTTTCTCACTGCAGCTCACTGTTTTGAAGAGTAGGTAACTCAAGTTACCAGAAAATGTAACTATGTCTTATTTTTCTATCTTGTACCTGTGATTTAGCGTTCCAAAACATGTTATTCAGGGCAGTCCCCAACTTGGAAAATGGACAAGTGTTGAAACTGGGAATAAGGTGAAGCACCCGTCTTTTGAAAAAATGGCATTGGGGAATGAGCTGCTGCTGCTTAAAGTATGTACAAACTCAAAAACACGATTAACATAATTGAAAATGAATTACTTACATGCATACTTTAACTTTTTAAAGAAAAAAAATTGAGCTGGGAAAAAGCATACAAACAGTACAACTTCCAGCTGTGGACATGAAAGTCAAAGCACATGATTCATGTCAGGTTGCAGGATGGGGAGCAACACATATAGGTGGTACAGATGTTAAACACTTAATGGTCACCAATGTGTCCAACCACCTGTAAGAAACAATGTCACGACCTTCCACGCAATGTTAACCTGTGGTGGAGAATACTGCAAGAACAGATGATTTCTCCAGGTAATGAAACATCAGAAAATGGCCAGATCCCATGTATTAAGTGATGCAGTGCTAAATTATACTATGTTTAAGGTGACTTTGGTGGCCCTTTGGTGTGCAACAACATTGCCATTGAACTCTCATGTTGGGAAACCACAGAACAGATATCAAATATATGACTGGAGGATCAAAATGTAGGCTTGGCACATTTTTTTATGCAAAATTGGCTTTTTGGGCTTTTTTGCACTGCATTCTGGGAGATAGAAATTATACCAAGTGTGGTGCCCAAGAGATACAAATCTCCCCCACTTGAGGCAGTATAAAAGCGGCACAGGTTCCTCATACTAATGTTGGCAGTTAAGATGCAACGTCAACAAATGATTACTGTGTTGGTCCTACTCTTCTGTTTACAGCAGATTGGTGAGTCACTGGTTTCTTCAACTGAAGTAACTCGAATTTACATTTTAAACATTTTAACAGTAGCAGCAGTTGATGGGAGAAGGAGGACTAGTAATAACTGTAGCACTCAGATGTATAGTTCTAGTACCTGCTGCAAGTTGTAGAAATATGGCACTAGTAACAGCAGACGTAACTTCCACTTTTGTTTTTGTTTTTTATCAGATTTTACAAATGGTGCTGATTTACATTTGATAATAACACTTGTTTCTTTGCAGTGACTGGGAGCGTCATAGTAAATGGAGATATTGTCCCAAGTGAAGAAATGCAGTACATGGCTTCACTCCAGAACCGCCATGGTCGTCATGTGTGTGGGGGTGTCTTAGTGAGTGACAACTTTGTCCTCACTGCAGCTCACTGTTTTGATGAGTATGTACAAATCTCTCAATGTGCAATATTTTGCTATTGTGGCCTTACTTTTCAACTTGTCTCTCTTACCTAGTCAACCCGTCCGTGTTGTCCTGGGTAAACACAACCTCAAAGAATCTAATAAAGGACAAACCATTGATATTGAAAAGTTTTTCAAGCATGATTCGTATAAAGACGTGGGCTTTGGGAATGATTTGATGCTGCTAAAAGTATGTACGACACAGACTTTTCTCAGTGCAATACAAAATACTGTTCCTTGAGTAGAAAAAAACCCTGAAGAATTGAATATAAGTATAATATTTATATTTCTTTTTTAGCTGAATAAAAATCCTGAGGAAAACGGTGTGAAAAAAATAGACCTCCCAACTCAGAATATGAAAGTCAAAGCAAATGATCTGTGCCAAGTCGCAGGATGGGGAGCAACACAGACACATGGTGTAAATGCCAACGTGCTGATGGCCACTGAGGTGCCCATTATAGACATGAAAACCTGTAAGGAGGTGTGGCATCACCTTCCACACAATGTCATTTGTGCTGGAGGATACAACACCACGAAGGGATTTTGTCAGGTAAAAAAATGTCAAACTATTTCAAACCCATGGAAAACAATTGTGGATTTAATTATACTCTGCTTTTAGGGTGATTCTGGAGGTCCCCTAGTATGCAAAAATACTGCAGTGGGAGTTGTATCTTTCAACAGACATAACAACTGTACCTACAAAAAAGAAGCTCCCAACGTGTTTGTCGACATTTCCAAATACATGGATTGGATCTTAAAAACTATTAGCGTCAACTAAAAACATGTATAAAAATGTGCTTTGTGTACAGAATGCAAAATAAAAGATTCATTATTTAGTTTCTGTGTATTACTGGGATGTGGTAGGGGGTAGGACCTGCATATAAGCCTGGGGAATTTGAAAACATTACAGTCTTATCAGGAGTGCGAAGTAGTTTATTATCAATACTCCCGTTGCTGTAAATAAGAAGAGTGTTTGCATATACATAAAGTGTTGCAGCAGTACTTAACTTGTAACTAAGTATATTTTAGCTATGTAATAGTCCACGAAAGTACAACTGCACAAATGTCCAGCACTCTCCACATTAATTGTGTGTTGTAGTGTAGTGGTAGTAATGCTAATTTTATTTATTTATTTATTATTATTATTATTTCTTTTTTTTTTATAGGTATAAACTTGTTACGGCTTAGACAGGACATAAAATAGAAGAAGTTAATTTGCATCATGTCTTGCAGCATACTCTGTTGACATTTATTCTTACAGTTTTCTGGTGAAAATGGCTGTTGACACATGCACTGAAGCAATACCACAAAATAAGTAAGATGGTTCTTTAAAACGACCAGTCCAATCCTGCAACATCTATATTGACTGAAATCACCATGGCAATAAAATCAATGGTGTTGTTCTTATCTGTGGTCCACTGGGGTAAGCAGCCTTATAGTACTTTGATAGACCACATTGTGAGGTGATTAAATGAGTATAATACCTTGCATGTAGGAGCAGATGGATCACGCATTGTTGGAGGCAGAGAAGCGGTGCCCCACTCTCGGCCGTACATTGCTTCGCTGCAGTCGCGCGGAAGACACATCTGTGGAGGACTCCTGGTCAAAGAAGATTTTGTGCTCACAGCAGCTCACTGTCTGACACCTGTGTAAGATAATACCACAAACTTCAGTTTTACTTGATAATGGGACAATCAGTGATAATTATTTTTTGTAATTTCAATTCCAAATTACATGTTTGAATATTTGAATAATCATTGTGGTATCGAAAACTGGTATTGAGCCTTTTCATTAGTATCAAAATTAACTTTGCAATTTTAGTGTTGTGACAACACTACCTCCAATCATTTCTATTATTAACACTGAAGATATTTAACAGTCATGTTTTACCAAAATTTTAAACACTGACACAATTGTACTTTTTAGGCCATACACGGTCGTACTAGGAGCTCACTCACTTGCTGCTAATGAATCTTCAAAACAGACTTTCACTACTGTGAGATCTATTTCACATCCTAACTATATCGGACATGCCAATGACATCATGCTCCTTAGGGTAAGAATTAAATACCACATCATCTTAGATTACACACAAAAAATACTAATTATAATTTTTTGTGATTCCCCTCAGCTAAATACCACAGCTAAGCTTACTGCAGCCGTTCAGCTCATTCCTCTGCAAAGGGGACGGCTTAGAGCTGGGGGTAAGTGCATCACTGCTGGATGGGGAGACATCGGTGATAACAACACCTATCCAAACAGGTTGCGGGAGGTCAATGTCACCATCCTGTCACAGAGAAGCTGTAGTGGAAGATGGGGAGCAGTCCCCATCACACGGAGCATGGTCTGTGGCACCGGAATGGACAACTTTCAGGGATTCTGCTCAGTAAGACATGTTTTTATACCAATCAGGCAAAGCTTTATGATCACACTGTGATCCCATCAGCAGTTGAGAAATTAATTGAGTTACTTATTGAGTAAAGACAATAATGTTATTGTTTCTAATGGTGTGAGAGTGTTAGTTTATTATGCAAAAGTAAGTACACTATTGTGGAGGTCACCTGAACAGCCTTGCACGTCCCTACATAGTTTTTCTTTATTTCTTTTTTAATGGTTCGCTTCATTCCAGCTATTTCCAGCAGAGGGTGCACTACTTCCATGCACTAAAGCCCTTTTCAGAATGTATGAACCTTTGCCGTTTTCAGTTACTAGTTGTTAATACCTAATATACTGTTATACACGTTATACTATTATACAATTAATGTGATACGCATCTACAAGTGACCAGAAGAAGGACAAAACAGAATAAGGCTCACTAAGCATGATTATTAACAACTGTATTAACAACTGTAATTTAATGAAAAGGGCTTTAGTGCTTGGAAGTAGTGCACCCTCTGTTGGAAATTGTTGGATAAACTATATATATTATATATATATATATATATATATATATATATATATATATATATATATATATATATATATATATATATATATATATATATATATATATATATAATCATATCGTATTGTCTGATTAACAAGTGACTTGTAGCGATGTTCTCCAAGTAGTGACAATATTCTCTACTCAGGGCGACTCGGGCGGACCTCTTGTGTGCGACGGTGCTGCTGCAGGTGTTGTCTCCTTCTCTGGCCGCCGATGTGGAAATCCCAGGACACCTGATGTGTACACACGCATATCATCATTCAGAGATTGGATTTTAAGTGTTGTAAACAATTAGGCACTGATGGCGTAAATTATGTAAGAGAAGTAAACATACAGGCTTTACTATAGCCTGAATTACCTACCTTTCTTTTCTTCCACAATGTGCACTTGTTTGTAAAATGTGCTATAGAAATAAAGTGTCTTGGATTATGTCTTTTTGCCACAGCATTGCTTTTTATGTGTATTTTGTTGAATATGATAGTAATTTATGAATGTAACAATCTTGTATCTTGACAATCTTAACATTCGGGCAAACAACCCATTTATAATTTAACAACAGATTATTTTAGAAAGTAAATATTTCTAATTTAGTACAAATAATACATTTGGGACAGCATTTCCCACAAAGCTTTGCGCGGATCTTAGCATCTTCTCCTTACGCAGCAATGACAAATGGCTTACTGGGAACTGGTGTTTTTCCCCCGATACTGATGAAATCCCAGAGATTTCGCGAGATTTTACACTCACATGCGGTTGCTTTTATAATACGTTTATGTGACTACCATGAACATTAGCGACTACCTGTACAGCTGTGGTCCCAGCCAAAAGGTAAAGGATAGATGTTAAAATTGTGAACGGTAGCTCCGATAACCGCTATTAGCCACTAACAGAAAAGCGTGTGACTGCCTAGCCTCCTCTGTAGCCTGTAGTCTGCTGCAGTGAAGAAGAGGCTCTGCTAGGTCAAATGAGTGTTGTTGATTACCGCCTTCACAGCATTCACTGCCAGGTGTTGCTCTTCACTCATTGACAGGTGGGCTATGTCATGACACAAACTCACATTGGCATGTCAGAAAGTAGAACTGCAGACAGGAGTGTGAGAGACAGAAAACAGACTCAACCTCTGTGCAAGCACTTGCTAATGCTACAGATAGTGTAGTGTGTGTAGTGTGTGTGTGTGTGTGTGTGTGTGTGTGTGTGTGTGTGTGTGTGTGTATATATGCTAATTTAACATAAGGGTATAGGCGGCTGTTCCGTCACAATTACTGATAAGGCTGTAGTCTACAGCATTGACTCAGGTTGGTCTTTTGCCATTTGTCTCAAGTTAAACTGGTTGTTTTTTTTCTTCTTTTAAGTCTTTGAATGTCTGGAGGGATGTCCAAGAAAAGGGGCAGGTGTGTGCAGCTCCTATCTGTAATTATAACTGTAACTATCTGTATCTAAAATAAAGTTTGAAAACGTTCATGTTTTTATTTCCAGAAAGCGTAGCAGTGGGGAACTGAGTGACACAATAGATCCTAACAGCATTCTGGGACTACGTATTCAACATAACTGGCGTGAGAAAGGAAACCAAAGCAAATGGAAGGGAACAGTACTTGAAAGACTAAGTGTAAACCCATCTCTTTACATGGTTAAGTATGACGGCTTTGACTGTGTCTATGGTATAGAGCTGTTCAGAGATGAACGTGTGTCCAACCTACAAGTGTTATCTGAAAAAGTCGGTATGTCTGTTTCTCTATACTTGTAGTTCTTCTATCTCAGAATTCATTTATTACACATATCTTACCCATGTCAATTACATCCATACAGTAAATAATAAGCTCAAGATCCCTCCTGGAGCAGAGGAGCTCGTGGGAAAGGCTGTGGAGCATCTGTTTGAGAAGGAGGATGGAGAGAAGAATGAATGGAGAGGAATGGTCCTCTCCAGAGCTCCAGTAATGACCCACTGGTATTATATAACATATGAAAAGGACCCAGTCCTTTATATGTACCAGCTGTGGGATGACTATGCTGACGGAGACCTTAGGATACTGCCTGAAGCAGGTACTGCTAATCCCTGTTTTATTAAGAGATATTGTTTATGAATATTAGTTTAAAGTCATAATTTGTCGGTTTTTGGATGACTGAATGACTCATGAAAATCAATTATCTGTGTTCCCCATGTGATTTCTCACTTTAAAACGGGCTTTTGAGTAGCTACTTAACAGAGATCAAAAACTTCTCAGATCAAATAAATAAAATATGCAACTATCTGGAAGTATAAGAAAAGAATGGGGAAATCATCAAGTATATATTTATTTATTTTATTTTATTTTTTTTCAGAAAACAAGCACTTGTTGCCCCCAGATAGAAAGCCAGGAGAGGAGACAGAGAGCCTGGTCGGAAAACAAGTGGAGTATGTCACCGATAAGGGCTTGAAAAGAACTGGTCTGGTAATCTACCAGGTCCCAGCCAAACCCTCTGTGTACTACATAAAATATGATGATGACTTTCATATTCACGTTTATGACTTAGTTAAAACCACTTAGAAACAAAATTCTCATTGTCATTTTGAAAGCCATTTCAGGTTTAAAGGTTAACCATTGCCGTTCGGAGGAAAGTGCAATATTATTTTTTAATATAGTAGTATTGTTGAACTACTTTAAGCTTTGAGAAAGTGACTTTCTTTTGCCATTGCTGCTTTAGTTTTAGATTTATACTTTATATTTGGGCAGTTTGTGGTAACACCTCCAAAGAGCTATATAATGCTTTATATTATCCATAATACCCCAAAAAACGATGGTATAACAGGATAGCTACAGTTTACTACAGTTTAATTGATGGAATGCCCTCATTCAAAAAAATTCTTTATGGTGAAATCGGTGTGTATATTTGTTGTATGACCAAAACAAGGCACTTTCTGGGAATTATGGAAGCACACACAATAGCATGCTGCCTCTGGTCTCAAACAGGCCAGAGGGTTGTAAGGATTAAGATTTGTTTTCTGCATTTTACTATGAGCCAAAACATATTTCTTCTTTTTTATTTCTTTAAGGATTCCTGCAAGCACTGCATTTTATCATATTCTGCACACTCATGCCATAAATCCCATAGGTGAGGCCTCATGAAACTTCATGAATATTTTGGGGCGTTTCATTCAAATAATACTGGGTTTTATCCGCCACATTTATCACCAGCTACTCATGCATACCACAGGATCAGAAAGTTAATAAACATTAAAAACACGCCCCCTGCGCTGTACACACAGATATACACCAAAATATACACCCACTTCACTGCAATCTTAGTAAATGAGGGCCACTGTACTTTGGCAAGGAAACATTTATTCTAATGAATTAAGTGCCTTGAAGCTTGTAGTTTTGCACCCAAGTATTTTTTTGTCTATGTTGCTACCTGTTCTTTGTTTAGCACAACTTTACATCAAAACTGGAGGTTCTTAAACAATAGGCCCATGTGTTTGTGTGCTAAACAATATGACCTGAAATGGTTATTTGCTACTTGAATGATTAATCAGCTTGAATGCACAACAAATACGTGTAGCAGTCTACTCTAAAGTTGTAGTAATTTGTATGATAGGCAGTACTATTTTTGCTGTGTTGAAAATGTTCATTTATAATGTCATAACAGCAATAGCTTTTTGAAAGTGAGGCTGTATTTATCTGAATACATGACATGTATTATAACTGGTGAAATGGTGAAAATATTGCAATTACTCCAAGACATAGACTAAATAGCTTATTTATTAATGACAGTAATCTTTGTGTTCCACTTTTTGGCTTTGCTTCTATTTAGTTGTAACCCTCACGCTGCAAATTTATTTTCTCGCCTGGCGAGAAAATGCATTTTTGGGTCTGACTGACCCACCCCAAGAGAGCAGGAAGGAACAAAAAGTTTTCTTTGGGTCTATGTGACCCCCAGGAGAACGCGAGGGTTACAAATAAGCCTGCATGCACCATCTTATATGACAAACTTGTTAGTTCATGGTGTATGGTGGGCTCAGAGTACTCAGTCACACTTATGTAAATTCACATTAATGTTCAATACATTATTACAGCTATAGTGCCGCAATGTCAAGGACTAGTTTTGACTTTGTGAGGTACACTTATCACTCATGTTGCATCATCAATCAGCGTGGGTTTGTGTTATTAAAATAAAAATGAAAAATTGTGTTTTCCATATTTTGATGAAACACCCCCCCCCCCCCTTTTTTTTTTTTTTAAACAAAAAAGTTGAAAGACTAAGGCTTGAGTATTATTTATTGTTGAGTTTGATATTTTATATATTTATAACTATAAAACATTGGAATTTTCCCCATTGTGGGACAAATAAAGGTTCTGTTACCTTGAACAACATGTTGGGAAATGGATAAGGAAGAGGAATCTGTCCTGTATACATACACAATGTTCTTTAATGAAGAAAATGCTTAATTATTGACAGTTAAAATTGCCAGCATATTCCAGTGATAAGTGTCAAGTTCTCAATAGGTGGTTCAAACTTAGTATAAGGAAGTGCAAAAGTCAAAATATAAATAAATGTCAGGTGCTTAGATGATTTACTTTGTGAGGTCCTTTATGTATTGCATACCCTGATGGGTGTAATCTGAGGCTTTTGTAGGAGCTTCTGACAGTGTTGAAATTGTCCATCTGACACCTATAAAAGAAAAAAGGGTAGACATCTTAGTAAAAGCTCATTCCTTTTGCACAGGCCAAAGAATTGTACAAAATAAGCACATCAAATTGCCAACTTGTGACAAACCATAGTTGCACAGATGACGTATAATTTACACACCAGAGTTCCATGCCTCAAGCGGGGCAAACTCCATCTTTGGTACAGTGGGGAGTTGAGCCTATGAACACAGAAAGACTGATTTACGTTCCATTCTATGTGTCAGTGACACTAGCAAAAGAATATTGTACCTCCACGCCGAAGTACTTCATCCACTCGTCCACTGCAGGCGGAATTGCAGCCTTGGCTTTCTGCAGAGCTACAGCTCCCTGCTCACTGCTCCCGAGCAGCCCAGAGTCATAGACTACATATACGGCTCCCCCAGCAATAGTCACTTTTGTTGCAAGCCTGGTAATAGATCTGGTATTTAGTTCAAATGCACAAATGTGTTTATTTACACAATATCATTTACGACACATTGAACAGGCTAGGTGTCTTCGCGAGGGCAAAATGCTAGCTAGCTTAGCCACGTTAGCATATGACAGGACTGTGACAGGGTTTTATGTATTAAATCAAAAATACTAACTTTATTACTGGCAAAATCCTTGCCGCCATGCCTCGTTCTAACGTATGGCTCTCTTAGTAGATAGGATTTATCCAAGTACACGGAGAAGGTAGGAGAAGGTAAAACCGAAGCAGTGACGAGCAGCGGCGCTGAAGGACGATCCAGTCAGCCAGCCCTAAACTGTCAAGGAGTTTTGTCAATAAAGTTATACTTTCAAAATAAATCACTTTGCGGCAGATTCGTTCTTTTAGTGTTGCTTGTTGTTTGCTAAATATTTATTTAGATGATTTGCTATAAAACATAAATACCACAATTTAATATTTATACAATAATTTGATTATGATTATTACCACGCCACACCCCCAAAACCCTAAAAGGAGGGGCTTGTTTTCTTGGGCATAAATCGCATTTGTGATTCAAGAAAGTTGAGCTCTTTCTTTATTCTGGGGTTATTATCATTATAGTATAATGAAGACTTTAACAAAGATTATCCTAGCGAGTATCGGTGTTGTTTTTATATCTATCAAATGGAGTGCGCCAAGTTTTCAGCCGGGTAGGTAGATGTACCACTTAAATACTATTGTAAATACTATTGTTTTGTTGTGTGCACACTGCACTTGGCCTTAAGTGCTTAGCCTATATCATTACGTTGTAGTATGGTTCATGACTATGTACTATAGATTCATTTTATGTCCTCGCGAAATAGCATTTAAATAATGTTCAGAGTGCAAAGATCTGCTGTTCTATCAGTGTGTGACCTCAGGCATATCAACCGAATGCAGATAATTTCACTTAAGCCTAAAACAACACACATAGGACTTTGGTTTCAGTGTTGATAACGGGTAAAGAAGGGCTCCATAAATTATATTTTATGGTGTCATTGTACGAAAAAGTTGCATTCCCAAGAATATTACTATTATGTGTTTTTAGAAACCCTTCGAGGTGCCAGGGTACTGGTTACTGGGGCCAGTACAGGGATTGGAGAACAAATGGCTTACCATTATGCTCGTTTTGGAGCTCAGCTAGTGATTACAGCAAGAAGAGAGAAAGTGTTACAGCAGGTTAGTTACCATCAGGGTTGGTCAGATTACTTTGCAAAAGAAATTACTGGATTACTGGCTACTGATTACTCCTTCTAAAATTAATTTAATTACTACTCTGATTACTTTGTTTCAAAAGTAATTAGATTATTATTATTACTTTGAAAAAAATATGCACTCCAGGAACCAATTTATAAAAAGCATGAATTCTTCACTTTAATGACACTGTTTGTTATAGAGCTTAATTTCAAGCACAGTCCTCTTTAAACCAATATTTGTGTTCACTTTGGTTCACAGCTGAGCTGCCTCTGACACCAGAAGAGGACATCTGAGTTGCCTGTTTATCTTTTTACTGTTTTACAATGAAGTTGTAATGGATAACACACATTTTTGGCAGGGAAAAAGTTACTAGCCCAAGTAACTGTAGTCTAATTACAAAATTTTAGATTGTAGCTGGTTACATTACTGCATTAAAAAAGTAATCTTATTACAGTAATCCCTTACCTTGTAAGTAGTTACTGGCCAACCTTGGTAACCATTCAAACCAAATAAAGGGACTGTCTTAAATTTTAAATGTAACTTTTTTCAAAGCCATTTTGCATGCTGCGATTTGCTTTTAGGTTGCTGATAAGTGTTTAAGTTTGGGAGCCCAGAAAGCCCTCTACATTGCAGGAGACATGGCCATTGAATCAGACCCAGACAAAGTGGTAGAATTTACCCTGGAAAAACTGGGAGGACTGGATTACTTGGTTCTCAACCATATTGGTCCTTCGCCGTTCAGCATGTGGAAGGGTGACATAGAGCACACCAGGTGGCTCATGAAGGTAGTGCAGCTCTTTGAGAAACCATAAATCTGGGAGTGTCATTCACCCTGATGTTTATTTTCCAAAGGTCAATTTTTTCAGCTATGTTCAGATGGCCTGGAAAGCCCTGCCATCACTAGAACAAAGCAAAGGTTCACTGGTGATAGTTTCTTCACTTCTAGGTAGGTTTGTACTACTAATTGAATGCTTACATATTTTATTGTAAATGGAGTATGCTTTTATATCAGTAATTCCCTTAATTAATAAGAGAGAAAAATGATAAATAATCTAATATACATCCCATAGGTAAGATGGCTGGTCCCTTTACTGCCCCTTACACTGCAACAAAGTTTGCCTTAAATGGCTTTTTTGGCTCTCTTCAGCATGAACTTGCTATGAAGAACAGCAATGTGTCTCTGTCTATTTGTACACTGGGTCTCATTGACACAGATTCTGCGATGGAGAAAGTCAGGTAAGTCCCCAAATATAATAACACATAATAACACTTTGAGAATGTCAGTAGATATTTTGTAACTATCAAGGCAAATGTGTCATTATTCATTCGCACAGGCATGTTTTTGTAGTTGAAAGAACTCTTAGCAATATAATTATTTAATCAAGTTTGTGTACAAATACAAGCAAGCACTTCACTTCAGATTTTCTCATGGTCTGTCACCTGAGAAGAAGCAAGGGTTATTGCATTGCTTAGAATGCCCCACTGTGTTTCAAGCTATGGCAATAGTCCTCCATCATTATACCGATAATGCCATTCAAAAGCCAAATCAAAATATATTTTTGAACACGTATATTTGCTTGAAAACCATGATTTTCAATTTTTTTTATTTTATGAATTTCAGGTTTTTGGTTAAAAAAATAGATCTAATGCAGTCTCCATAGAGATTGCAAAATGTTATGCCATTTTGTGCAACATTTCAAGCAAAACAATAACGTGAAGAAGATTTTGGGCCCGTCACCTACAAACATGCATAGTGCCCTTTTTAGATGCTAAAACTATTCTATGATTCTTAGGGGGGTCATTGATGTCCCAGCTGCCCCTGCGTCTGAAGCAGCTTTGAACATCATCAAGACAGGAGCCACAAGACAGGCAGAGCTCTACTACCCCTGGAATACATTTGTTTTAACTCTTACTAAAGACTGGATCCCTTCTGCCACCAACTACATTATCCGGAACGCATACAACTACATACCATGATAACATTACAGCCACAAGGAATGTGTTATTTAGTGGTAAATGTGGTTATGGGAGATTTTCAGTCTAGACACTGGACCTGGTTGATGTACTTCTGTAATGTGAATGCACATTTATTTAATGTGTTTAACTATGCATTTAACTGTTTGACACACAGTATTTTGGATATGATGTTTACTTTCAGTATATCTTATACATACCGTACTGACTATTTTTGTGTATGTCCCGATACGGTCAGTGAGTTAAACTAGATCGTTCTCTTAGTCATTTTCATATTTTATTTTATTAATTTAGTAATTGAATCAGATAATAGCAGGGTTTAATTCCATAGGTCAATAATGTTTAAAAGGGTCATTGTCAGGCAAAACTAATATTGTTAATGTGCAGTATTTTGGTGTGGTATAGTGAGATGATGGACCTAAAGTAGGCCTCTCCAAACAATCAAAATCTCATATATATAAATAAAATACTGCGCAGAACTCTCAAGCTCCCAGGCCTCTGTTGAGGACCCGAGCTGAATGAGGGTGAGAGAGACCTACCACCGTGGAAGGTGAGAAACACATTTATACATATATATAATGATCGAGAAATTGAAAAATTATACAAATATAATAATAATAATGTATTATTTTTGTAATATCACCCAGCCCTAACCTAAACACTAATATAAATAGTCTAAGTAATCAACTTTATCCACCAGTGGGCAGTACTGTAAATAAATAAATACAAGTAAATTAACCTGAATACACGCAGTCTTCTCAACTTCTAATTTTTTTTTTCTAAACGCTGATCAAAACCATACCAATCCGCAGTAATTGAAAGATTGGGAGCTTGATCCATACTGGTACAGGCTATGGGTGCACACTGTCGTTGTGTCCTGGCCTGGCCTTGTTTTACCTGTTTGAATGTTTAAGTGGGACTGAGTGATTGTAATTGTTACTGATTAAAGAAGCAAAGTGTGATTGAGAAATGACTGACAAAGGCAGAACTAGATCTGTGATGCTCTGTTCTGGTTCAATCACCACACCCCAAATGGGCATAAAAGGAGGGGTTAAAGTTTGATGTAAATCTCATTTACGTTTGTAATACTTTGCCCAGACTTTTGGGATTTAGATGCATTCTTTTGACACCAATACAACCATTGACAACAACATTTTACAAAAAAAAATGAGAACTTTAACAAAAATCATTGTGGCTAGTATAGGTGTTGCTTTTGTTGCTTTTCACTGGAGCACAGTAAATTTTGACCCAGGTAAGTGGGAGCAATATTCAGTATTTATATGATCATCATTAGAGCTGGAAACAAAAGTAATGGTTAATATGCAGTGCATGGTTAAGTCAAACAACTGCTTTGTTTACATCCAAAGAGCTACTTGACATTTTGTCAGTTTCCATATAGTGAAATAATCTGGATTAGTGTCAGTGATAACAAAAGCCACATTTAAAGTCAAAAGTCATTTAAAGTCATTTGAATGACTGATCCGAATACTAAATTTATGAAGAACGTTTTGGAAAAATATGTTTTTAGAGACCCTTCGAGGTGCCAGGGTACTGGTTACTGGGGCCAGTACAGGGATTGGAGAACAAATGGCTTACCATTATGCTCGTTTTGGAGCTCAGCTAGTGATTACAGCAAGAAGAGAGAAAGTGTTACAGCAGGTTAGTTACCATTCTAATCAAATGGGTCTTAAAACTGGCTAATGCATTACAATAACGGTTTTTTCAAAGCCATTTTGCATGCTGCGATTTGCTTTTAGGTTGTTGATAAGTGCTTAAGTTTGGGAGCCCAGAAAGCCCTCTACATTGCAGGAGACATGGCCACTGAATCAGACCCAGACAAAGTGGTGGAATTTACCCTGGAAAAACTGGGAGGACTGGATTACTTGGTTCTCAACCACATTGGTCCTACCCCGTTCAGCATGTGGAAGGGTGACATAGAGCACACCAGGTGGCTCATGAAGGTAGTGCAGCTCTTTGAGAAACCATAAATCTGGGAGTGTCACTGACCCTGACGTTTATTTTCCAAAGGTCAATTTTTTCAGCTATGTTCAGATGGCCTGGAAAGCCCTGCCATCTCTAGAACAAAGCAAAGGTTCATTGGTAATTATTTCATCATTAGTAGGTAATTCAGTGTTACTCTGGTATCATTACTTCTTTATTGCTTATTAAACATATTTTTTGTGACATTCAGTCCTTATAGGCTTATGAGCATTATTAATAGTTCCCCATACATTAGGGGTGTTAAATGATTAAAAACATCCCAGACACGTGCTAGTATCTCACATCCTTCTTCACCACAATAGACACTTTATTTGATTATGTCAAAAGAGAGTGCAGTGCACGCTTTTGCTGTTAGTTCCTTTGAGATGTAATCATTAACCATTGTGTGATATAACTGGCCCATTAACCATTGTGTAATATAACATTGTGTAACATTTTCACAGGTAAAATGCCTTGGCCATTGACTGCTCCTTACACTGCCACAAAGTCTGCCTTAAATGGCTTCTTTGGCTCTCTCCAGCATGAACTCGCAATGAGAAACAGCAACGTGTCTCTGTCTATTTGTACGCTAGGTTCCATTGACACTGAGACTGCAATGGAGAAAACCAAGTTAGTGCTTTATACCAATTTGCTAAATTCCGTAAAGTAGGTCTATGTACATTTTTAAATATAATTTGTATTTTTTAACATTATTTTCTGATTTTTAGAGGCATTGTGACCCACGCACAACCTGCCCCTGCCTCTGAGGCAGCTTTGAACATCATCAAAACAGGAGCCACAAGACAAGCAGAGCTTTACTATCCCTACAGAACATATATTATTGCTCTTATTAAAGCCTGGTACCCTCCTGCTACAAACTACCTTCTTCAAGATATTTACAACTACAAACCATGAGAAGCCAGTGGTTTAATACTGAATTTCCCACATGAATTAATTAATTCAATCACTTTTTCCCAGTTGTTTTGGAACTTTTTTTTTTTTTTTTCCATCAACTCATAATCTCTCAGTTTTGTAAATCATTAAATAGCTTTTTTCTTTTTTCAAAAACAAATGCTTTAGTGCATTACTTCAAATAATTTTGTATAATTATCTGCTATTTCTTTCGTTACAGGAACTAGCTTCAACTAAAATAGAAATAACCAATGCTTTGATTCAAACATTTATAATAGTGTGCTTAGGTGGTCAAATCATTTGGAACATTTCTCATCTCTTCACACAGGCTCTTTCTCAATACACTTGACATAGCTCTCAATGATAAACATAACATTACATGATCACTGAATTCAATATGTTTTTTTTAAATACTACAATACATCTTTGCCATATGTCTATGTCTATGATCCTTGTATGTACTTCCCCATGGCAACAGAGTGCTTGGCTGCTTTCGTGGCTACCTGGCTTAAACACTGAGCAGTTTAAACTTTGTGTTTTTTGCTCAGTTTTTAACAACATATCATGGGATTTTAACCATCTAAGAAATGCAGCAAATGCAGTGCAGGAAACAAGTGAGGGAATGTTGAATTGTGTGAAATTAGCTGTTTGTGTTTCCCATATTTGAGATGTTACAGTCTTTTTACACTATGTGCAAATGTGACAGAAGTTCAACACCAACCAAAACAACAGGAGGAGTAAGAATGAGGCCTTTCCTGTTGAATTCACCTGGTTTCCCCAGGACACTGCAGAGATGCTGCAGGACACAGAGAAGGGACACTTTTAGCTATTCCTCTCCCCAAACTGTCCTGACACAGATCTGCTGACTTTACCTGACCAGTCCTGTTCAACCTTTGACTGAGACCTTTAACTCAGACACAAAAGCGACTGAGAAGCACAGTATAAATGTTGCTGCAGCAAAACGTGAATTTCCCTCAGGATAAATCATCACTCTCTGTCTGTCCTCACTTGGTAAAGGACGTAGGCCCTGTTATTTTCAATATAGAAAATCAAACATGACAGCTAAAAGCAACTACAGTAATACTCTCTCCACATGTTGTCATTTGTGTAAATAAATACTACACACTCTCACCAGAGTCCATAAAGCAAAGACACAAAGGACAAAATCAAAAATGCACAAATCACAATATAAAGATATGACACAGAAGAACTTGAAATCACAACTTAAAAGCTTTCAAATCCAAATCAGATACCACCTGCTAAAAACTACATATCAGAATGTTTGATTGTGCTTTTTTTTGTTCCCTAAATGATTGTATAATATTGTACACATATTTACAACATTTCCCTCACTCTTAACCCATCAGAAACATGTAGAGGATATTTGTCCTCTGACTCCCTAAAAGTGTGGGAGCATTCTCTGTCTAATGTCTGGATGATGTTTTGATGTGCCCGTAATTTTGATGATGACTGATGACATTTTGGAAAATGCACAAAAGATTTGCCAGGCTTATAAAAAGTTTCAGAAAATGTGGCAAAGTGATTGCAAAAAAAATATTTGAGAGCACCCACATGAATACAGAGATATTCTACAGTAGCCTATATAGGCCATATATCTAGTGTACTATTGGTGTAAATGTCATGTTTGATTTTTCCAGAACACATACATTACATATAGCAAGTGTTGATGTCTTTGCTAAACTAAAGTGTGAACCCCAGTGTCAGACTGCCCTAAACCAGTGATTCTCTGTGGTCACTGAGAAGCTGTGACCACAGAAGGACTGAAGGACTTAGGCTTCTGAGCTGCCCGTCAAATGAATGAAAGAGCACAGAAAACACATGACCAAAGTCTGTGAGGAAAACTGTAACCCATTTGGGATTCTGTCTGGGCTGTTTTGCAATTGTCAATTTTCAACAGAAAAATGTGTCAAACAAATTGAAAAAAAAAAAACTAAAACTAAAAACTAAACAACTCAAAGCAGTGTGTTACACTATTTTAACGCACACTCCTCATTGTTTGATCCTTACTTATAATGGCTCTGATCTATTAGGACAAACTATTATTACCTCATTGTTTGGTACCATAGCCACCAAATTGATAAATCCAATCATCATTGGCAATTTCCACACTTATAGGCTATATGAGATTTACATCTGCAAAAAAATATACATAAGTGGATACAACAAATACTGAGTATGGATTAGGTTTATCCTACATCAGTGAGTTATCCATTGTTCCTTCCTGAGACTGACTGAGAGGGAATTGGGATGCAATAGAGAATGCATCACAGATGAATCAGCACTGATCAGTTGAGACTGGAAATGGTAAAAAGGTGTAATAATATAGTAAATGACATTGGTTCCATAAAGGCTGCACAGAGGTCTGTACATTCTGAGGGACTGACATGTTCTCTTTGTGAAAGGCAACTGAGAAAAACTGTAATTTGTTGTAATTGTAACAACGATTGAATGAGACCTTGTGACCACAAGAGGGCAGTAGTGTAACAGAAGCAAATGAACATGACCTCATCAAAAACTGCTGCTTCTCTATAGCGGGCACCAACCACTATTTCACAATCACACACCATTTTGAGTTTTATGTATACTTTAAATGTGGAAATATTCTATTTTCTCCACAGTTACAAATGACTCCATGATCCTTTCCTGTGTGCATCACACCATCCATTCATCCTGGTCGTGCTGCAGTGGTGCCAAGGCAGGCTCTGTGGTTGCTCGCTTCCTCAGTGCTCCCTAGCTTTCCTCAAGGATGAAGGACTTCTGTGCTCTCAGAGTGAGCCAGCTGCAGTGTTCTTCTTAAGGAGACTGATTGGCCAAAGTCACTGAACACATGTTTGCTTGCTTTTTATCTTGACTCAGTTTAGGAGAGCTGGAGATAGCAGAATCACAGCTCATGCTGTAAGAAAAAAATCATGTTCCTTTTGTGTCATTCCCATCAAGTAGACACAAATATGGAGGGGCCTCCTGGGGAGGAGAGCGGCAGAGGCTCCGGAGAGCAGCCAGAAACACCTGCAACAGATTAGTGCTCCTAATGCTGCCTCATAAATCCTCTCACTTCTCTCACTATCTCCATCTCCACCAGAGCAGCAGCACACACCCACTCCAAAACAGGCACAGCCGAGCTGCTGGGGAGTTTATCTAGTCAAAAACATTGCAATGTTTTTTGTTTGTTTGTTTTTTTGTTTGTCTGTTTTTACTTACATGAGACCAAAAAATAATAATATCTCCAACATTATTCAAGGCCAAATTTTCAGGTCAACCCAGAAATGGACAATTATTTATGCCCAAAGAAATCAGACACTTGAATATTTGTAATTTATAGAGGTTTGTTTGCCTGACCAGCCAGTCCCTCATTGTCAAAGCATGTGGTTTTGGCTGGCCAGGCAAGAGACTTGGCTGATACCTAAGTCAACAGATAAAAGACAATAATCTGTCTATGAGCTAGAGTAGTAAAGGCAAATGACATGTAAAATAAGTCTGCAACTACTTCCAACACAGTATATGGCCTCCGATGTATTTAAAGCTGATAAAGCACAAATGTCAGGTTTCACACCATAAAAAGTCACCTATCTACAGAAATCACACAGGACACTTCAGTTATCATGCACAGATTTATAGTTGGGCCTTGTCTTGGCTATTTGAGCACAAAGGACACTGCCTCTGCACCTCTTCCTCAGGCTGAGATGAAGGCTCCAGCAGTAGCTTGTGTGGGAACAGCACCCTCCAGTGAGAGGGGACAGGATCTCTGTAGGCCTATATCTCTAATTTAGGATTACTTTGCATGTTATTTATAGGTTGATGATATAATATACATAAACTAATGACAAGCAATAGAGCAGCATAATAAATTAAGCACAGTTAGTGGAAGTAGAAGGCCTACTGTTGGAATAGCAGGAGCACATAACAATGTAGAGCTTATTAAAAGAAAATATCATGATACAATAAAACATAACAAGCTACAGAACCTTTCTTTGCCTGACAATGGGAAAAGTTTGGTGTTGCAACACAAAACAGCGAACAGCAATAGAATTCGATACTAAATAGTGTAGAGTAATGTGAATAAAATACAGACAGTTGAGTAAAAAAAAATATAACATTAGAAAAGTATCATGAACAAATATCTAGCCTATAGAGTATGCAAATAAAAAAATACAACATAACATTCAAAACAAGTTTAGAAGAATGATGGAGTAAAGACTGATCTTCATATGTTGACACATGGTGTAGACTGAGTAGCATTTCACCATTTATTTATTTTTTTCCTCAAGTACTGTGTCCTTACATACCATATACAGAGTCTATAAATGTGCTGTGGCTTTTGTCCAAAGAAGCTATTGATTAAGGCTGGCCGATTACCGTCAAAGAATGTTAATCTTCCTCTAAGTTTGAGCCTGACCTTTACAAAGTTTTCACAAAACATTGGAGCTATGATAACAAAGGAAGAAGGTGAGGCGGGAGGGCACGGCCAATGAACGCCTCTGAAAGGGCGCATCAGTGTGAATCTAAAGCGTGGGTGTGAGGCGGCTGACGCTGCCCGCTGACCTTTGACCTGGGCCCACTGAGCACCACACAATGCTTAACACCTGTGTTCTTTCTCTACCAGCGTTATTATTATTTACAGCCAGAACCAAAGGAGGATGAAAGAGGGGACAAGTCTTCTGTAACAAACATGAACATCTCCAAAACATGGCAAAGAAGGTTGTTGTACTTCCAGCTCCAAGTGGTCGAGACACGCAGTGGTGGAGGAAGTACTCCATTTTATTATTTAAATAAAAATAGAGATACCAGAGCAAAGAAATCCTCAAGTAAAAGCAAAAGTATCACATGAAAAAATCTACTTAAGTAAAAGTACTAGTTTAAAGTACCCATTTAAAAAGTTACTGAAAAAGTCAAAAGTAACAGTATTTTACACATATTTTTAGACTTAATAAAACTTCAAATGTGCTCATTTTGTTCTACAGAAACAACTGAATCAGTCTTTTTAT